TGTGTGTGTGTGTGTGTGTGTGTGTGTGTGTGTGTAGCTCTTGGCGAGGGGAAGGACGGCTTCCTCCGCTGCCCTCTGGAAGCTCTGAGCTGGCCCGTGAGGAAGTACCTGATCCTGGAGGAGATCCTGACCCACCTGCCGGACATCCTGTGTCTCCAGGAAGTGGACCACTACTACGACACGTTTCAGCCAATCCTGGCCAGTCTAGGTTACCGCGGCAGCTTCCTGGCCAAGCCCTGCTCGCCCTGCCTGGACGTGGACCAGAACAACGGTCCAGACGGCTGTGCTCTGTTCTCGCGCCGCTCGCGCTTCACCGTGCTGAGGACGTCTGGCCTGCGGCTGTCCGCCATGATGCTCCCCACCAACCAGGTGGCCATCGTCCAGACGCTGGCGTGCCGGGTGACGGGCCGGCGCCTGTGTGTGGCCGTCACCCACCTGAAGGCTCGCAGCGGCTGGGAGCGGCTGCGGAGCGCGCAGGGAGCCCACCTGCTGCAGAGCCTGCGGGCGATCACGTCCCGGGGCCACGGCCCGAACCAGGACCCAGAGGGCACCATCCCTTTGGTGGTTTGTGGAGACTTCAACGCAGAACCCTCCGAGGACGTGTACAGACGCTTTAGCTCCTCCCCTTTGGGTCTGAACTCTGCGTATAAGCTGCTGAGCTCAGACGGCCAGGTGGAGCCGGACTACACCACCTGGAAGATCCGCCCCTCTGGGGAGAGTCGCGGCACGCTGGACTACATCTGGTACTCCCATGATGCTCTGAGTGTGGAGCGCCTGCTGGACCTCCCCACTGAGGAGCAGATCGGACCGGACCGACTGCCCTCATACCACTACCCCTCAGACCACTTGTCTCTGCTGTGTGACATCAGCTTCAGGGAGGAGCCTCACAGGCTGATGTAGCCAATCACAGGTGACTGTGGGAGGAGCCTCACAGGCAGATGTAGCCAATCACAGGTGACTGTGGGAGGAGCCTCACAGGCTGATGTAGCCAATCACAGGTGACTGTGGGAGGAGCCTCACAGGCTGATGTAGCCAATCACAGGTGACTGTGGGAGGAGCCTCACAGGCTGATGTAGCCAATCACAGGTGACTGTGGGAGGAGCCTGATGGACTGATGTAGCCAATCACAGGTGACTGTGGGAGGAGC